CCTCCCCACCTTCTCCTCGGTGTCGTCGCTGCGCTGCACCAGGCGCGGGACCACCTCCGGCGGCGGGGGCTTGTACTTGAGGTGGTAGATGGCGCCGGTCTGGGGGTCCATGCGGCGGCCCACCACGCGCTCGACCAGCAGCTCGCTGGGGACCTGGGCGGCAGAGTGGCATGATTTTGTGCAAAGGAGAGAGATAGGATGTGTGTGAGTGTGTGGTTGTTGGGGAGGAGGGGGGCAAGAAGGAATGTGTGTGTGTGAGACCGAGGGAGAAAGAGAGGGAGAGGAGAGAGATGGAGCATGTGTGCGCGCACATCCGCATCCACATGACGTTCGAGAGCTTATGTGAGCCCCACCAGGATCAGAGAACCCGGCCTTTGCTCCACCACCGTGCACGCCTCACATCGAGCTCGCGGGCAGGGCGTGAGGGGTGGGGTGTTGGGGAGTGACGCGCCCCCTGCGCAGCCCGTGGGCGCCCCCTGCCCCGCACCTCAATCAGCAGGAAGAGGTCCGGCCGGATGCCCTCCTTCTCAATGGCCTCCGCCTGGCTGGCGCTGCGCGGGTACCCGTCCAGCAGCCACCCCCGCTCAGCCACGTCCTGAGACAAGGGGGGTGCGCACACGCGCACGGCAGCGGCGTCGGGTGAGGTGCCCGCTCGCAGGGGGGGACGAGCGCGGCGCCGCTGCGCGACAAGTCATCACCCTTGCCGCCGCCGCGCCAGTGCGGGAGCGCGTCTTGCTGCACCGGCTGCCTCACCCCACGCCGCCTGCGTGTTCAACTTGTGTGCTCCCCCATTCAACTACCTACTGTTTCCAGCGCCCTGCTTTGCCCCTTGCACCCACAACCGCCCCACACTTGATTCTGCCAGTGCCACGAAAATTGTCTCCGCCCTCACACAACCAGATCCCCCCCCCACATGCAGACCACCACTCGCGCAGGCCCTGCGAGCTGACACCCACACCCGCGCCCACGCGTGCAGGCGCGCAGCACTAGCCCGCGCACCTGCTGTGCGAGGCGGTCCTTGATCATGTCGACGATGACGTCATCGGGCACCAGCACGCCCCGCTCCATAAAGTCCTTGGCGCGCTTGCCTGAAGCCGGTGATTCCGGGGTCGCCGCGCAGGAAGCGCGTCAAGGAAAGCGGAATCCCTCGCATCGTGCAGGGACCAGGTGCGCAGTTCGCATGCTGCAGCAGCAGCATCGCGGCTGCGGGTGGCCCAGGCTCCGCCCGCGGCCACCCGCATGGTTGCGTTGTGTGCGAAGCTAGCATGGCTTTTGAGCTGCGGGGGCCCACCTGCTGCGGTGCCGAGCGCCACCTGCTCTCGCAGCAAGTCGCCGGCGGAGATGTGCACGAGGCCGTACTGCGGAGGGTTGCGCGCATACCATGGTTCCGGCATCATGTCAGGGGCGAGGCCGCATGGTGAGCATGCATGCATGGCAGCTGCGCATGGGCTGCGGCGGGCGACATAGGCCCGCGCATGGGCTGCGCATGGCCGCCCGCTGCGGGCGCGGCTGGGGGTGCCTCGGCCGCACGCGAGCATGCTCGAGTGCCTCGACTCCTGCCCGGCGCGGCTGCTGTGACACCAGCCTAAACACAACTTTGCCCGCACACGCATGTGCACACGTGCATCAGCATGTACAGCGTATTTTTTTGTGCGCTTGTGTGCTCCCCAGTCTCACCTTGCCCACAATCTTCTCACACTGGGTGCCCTTGCCCGCCGCCGGCGCCCCGGAAATCATCACGCGCAGGGGCCGCGCGCCGCTGGCATCCGCCTGCACTCATGGGCATGAGAGGTTGTCTCACTTGAGCGGATTGCGCTTTGGTGTGAGCGCGTGTGCGGAAAGCTGCGGGGCGGGGCACAACGCATGTCATTGTCGGCGGCTCGCGGCGCACCTTGACCAAGACGCTGCGCGGCCGCGCAGACCGTCTAGATTGGCTCCATGAACCTGCTTGGTTTACAATGAGGAGCAATGGATCGTCGCACTGGTGGCGGGCACGGACTGCATGCAATCCAGAAGCCACCGCGCCTCACCAGGCCGCTGCTGCCTGCCAAGAGCTTGCATTTCGACTTTCGAGCCACGCCACTTGCTAATGGTTGGCACTACCGCCGAGCAAAGATGCAAGAGGAGAGTCGTGTGCGGCGACGAGCACGGGAGACCAAGCTGCAATGTGACACTTCAAGGAACCAAACAAACAATTGCGAGCTTCAATGATTCGACTGCTGGTTCGACAAAGATCAATGTGCCTGCCGCGAGCTGTAGGCTAATCGCACAAGTACTGCACATGCTGGCATTCCCAACAGTAGTGCATTTTTAAGGCGTAAGACACCCCACAACCACGCCAGGAGCCCTGCACCACAATCATTGACCAAGCGTTGACCCATCGTGCCACTTTTGGTATCCTGACGAGGCGTGTTGCACTTGCGGTACTCTGGCCTGTGTAATCATGCATGACGATGTACTGCCACGGCATCAGGAATTGAAGGCTGTGCAAGCCCCTGCTGCGCGCCGTTACATCGACCTGCAGAAAACAGAGTTGTTAGCCGTCAAAAGCGCTGTTGCTCAAAGCGCTGTGGGGTGTCTGTTGGCTGTGGAGTGCATTGACTTGTGACGCAAACATTGGCCCAAGAGAGCCGATATCCTACCGACAGCAATGAGGAGGCAAACTGTTGCCGTCACCTGTGCTTGGGAGCCGCAAGCTGATGCTTGGTCAGCGCAGCAGGCGTCCGAGCCTGTTGCCGCTAACCTTACCCCTGCCCATGGCCCTTGCCGCCGCTGCCCCGCCCCCCGCCACGCGACATTCCTCCATTGGCGTGGGGGGGCGGCTGCTGGTAGTTGTAAGCGTGATGCGTGTAGTGCTGCTGTGGGTGCTGCGCAAATAACTGGCCATATTGCTGCTGCTGCTGCTGCTGCTGCTGCTGCTGTAGTTGCTGCTGCTGCTGCTGCTGCTGAAGCTGCTGCTGCAGCCGCTGCTCAAGTTGCTGCTGCAATTGCTGCTGCTGCAACTGCTGCTGCTGCTGCAGCTGCTGTTGCTGCAGTTGCTGCTGCAACTGCTGCAATTGCTGCTGCTGCTGCTGCTCCTGCACGTATTGTGAATACTGCTGATACTGTTGCGTCACATACGTCTGCTGAAGCACGGCCTGCTGCTGCTGGTAGACAAGCTGCTGCTGCTGCTGCTGTGCCTGCTGCTGTGCCTGCTGCTGTGCCTGCTGCTGTGCCTGCTGCTGTGCCTGCTGCTGAGCCTGCTGCTGAGCCTGCTGCTGAGCCTGCTGCTGAGCCTGCTGCTGAGCCTGCTGCTGAGATCGCACCTGCGCCACAACTGCGGCCTGCATCTGCGCCGCAGCCTGGGCCTGTGCTGCGGCCTCTGCGTGCGCCGCAGCTTGGGCCTGTGCTGTTGCGACCTTTGCTTGCTGCCGCTGCTGCGCGTCTTGCTGCTGCTGGTGCTGCTGAGGCTGCTGCTGCTGCTGCTGCTGCTGTTGGTGGCGCCGCTGCAGCCCCACCTGCTGCTGGTGCTGCTGACCACCGAGGGTCCGCTGGTCCTGGAGCAAGAGCCCCAGCTGCTGGTGCTGGTGCTGGTGCTGTTGCTGAGGCTGCTGAGGCTGCTGCTGCTGGTGCTGCGGCTGCTGGCGCACACGGCCCTGGCCCTGCTGCTCCTGCTGCTGCCGGCCTTGCTGCTGCTGCCGGCCCTGCTGCTGCCCTGGGCCCTGAGCGGGCCCGCCCTTCTGCGACCCTTGCGCCTGCTGCCCGTGCTGCTGCTGCCGCCGCCCCTCCCCACCACCGCGCCCGTGTCCCTGACCTTGCTGCTCCCTAGCGCCGCCGGCCCCGGACCCGCCGCGCGTGCCTTGCTGGCCGCGCGCGCGCGCGCCGGAGCCCTTGGCGTCCGCCCCGCCGCCGGCGGGCCCGCCTGCAGTCTGGACCCCAATAACGAGTTTGACGGGACGCACATCCTCGGCGCCGCCCTGGCCAGGCGTCACTACCAGCTTGACGCTAACCCGCGCTTCTCCGCGCCGCCCGGCCGCCGCGGCCTGCGCTGCAGCCTGTGCCGCCGCCGCCTTGGCCGCGCGGCCCTGCGGCCCGAAGACGGTCACCACCATCCGCACTGGCCGCGCCTCGTCGGGCGGCGAGGCGACCTCGAGGCGCACCAACAGCAGCAGCGGCTGCGGCGCGCGGCCCTGCTTGCCACCCTTCCCGTCCGCGGGCGCCTCTGGGGCCGGCGGCGGCGGCGGCGGCTTGGTAAGCACGGCTGTCTCCGCCGCGGCGAGGACACCCGCCACGGCAGGCGACGCGGTCCTGCGCCGCAAAAAGCCCTTCTCCCCCGCCGTCGGCAGCAGCGGCTGCGCAGCCACGGGCTCCTTGCCTGCGCCGCCGGCCGGGCTGCCTGCGGCACCGGGGTTGGCGGCGGCTGCTGATAGGGGCGTGGGCGCGCCGTCCGGAACGCCCAGCGGCTGCTGCTGCTGCTGAGGCTGTTCGCCGCGCTGCGGCGAGGGCGAACGGAAGGCCGGACCCAGCCTAAGCCCTGCCGCCGCAGCAGCAGCAGCAATGGCGCTCGCGGGAGAGGGCCGTCCGCCAGGGCCCATGCCGCGGGCGGGCGGGCGGCCCGACGTGCTGGCAGCGCCTTCCTCCTGGGGCGCACCACTGGCGGCGCCGCCCCTGCCCTGCGGTCCCGGCCCTTTTTCTGCGCCGCTGCCGCGGCC